CTGTACTGAAAAATAACATGCAGTGTAATACTAGGAAATAACTAATTATTTGTTCCTGAAGTTTAATTTAAGTCTAATAGAATGTCTGCCAGAATCTCATGCAGGGGAAGTCTCCTGGTATCAACTGCAGTCTGATGCACACCCCCAAATTTCTTCTGTAGTTTGGGGGATCCTCAAAGAAAACTGGGAAATGAGGATTGAAGCCTAAGTGAAGGTTTGAGGGAAATGGATTCCTGACAGTTTGCTGTGAAATACATTATTTCAAAAGGGATTGCAGTTTTATGCCAAGTTCTTAACACTAATATAGTCCCAATGACAAGTGGACACATTTTATATTCATAGGTGATCTTTGCAAAACAATAACACGGATCTAGTGCAGAGTAGCACTATCAGTTAAATAAATAGCAGAGAGGGGGATGGGAAGGGAAAAGAATAAAGCAGCCAGTTTGGAATGTTTTCAGATGCTAGTAGGAAAAATTAAAATTAATTTTTGTGTTGAAATGTTTGTAGATTTATGTTTCATTACTCTAGAACAGGCATGTCAAACTCGCAATGTCATGTGACGTGTGATGCATCACGACCTTTTCTCCATCACTGGCAATGTAGTGGGCATGGTTTCAGCATGACACATCTGGTCTGCGGGCCAGCAGTTTGATATGCCTGCTCTAAAACAGTGTTGCTGGGGAATTCTGGGAGTTGAAGTCCACATACTTTAAAGTTGTTAAGGTTGAGAAAAACTGTTCTAGGCCAGTGCATATCTATCAAGCTCTTTTTAATAATGTATTAGTTATTGAAATATAAAATACAAAAGAAAAGGAAAATAATGGGAAAGTAGGAAAAAAAGTGTAGGGTAAAGGGGGAAATAAAAAGAAAAGCATTGACTTCCAACTCTTTTTAGTACAGTAGAATAAGGTAATAACATACAAGCTCATCTTTTTACTTTTACAAAATATTATGAGCCATTTCTATAACAAAAAACCTATCTAATCAGCAAAACTCAAAATCAATATTTTTTTTACTTCAAGCCCAAAGTCCAAAAGTGATTTCCAAGTAGATACAAAATTGTATTCTTTTCTTTAATTAAAGCAGTCAATTTAGCCATCTCTGCTAACTCCATCAGCTTTTGCAGCCAATCATCCATTGTGGGAATTAAAGTATCTTTCCATTTTTGTGCATAGAACATTCTTGTGGCTGTCAGCATACTGTATATAACATCAAAGTTCCATTTTTTTTCAACTTCTTTGTCCATTAGGCCTTAAAGAAAAGTCTCTGGTTTTATCTTTATATTCACTTTAAGAGTCTTCTGTATGAAGATATGAATCCTACTTCAATATTTCTTTGCTTTGTTTATCAAGCTCTTTTTCATATTCAAGTAAGCCACAGACTATGGCATATTTTATTCTGGCATCACTCTTTAATTTCGGTGGGGGGGGAGGAATTGTATGAAAAAATTAGCCCTAATCTAAAATTATAGTGACCCCATTTTGTCTTCCACTTTAGGTTAGAGTGCAGTCCATTAGTTTCATTCCAATAATTAAAGAATAATGCTTTGGAGAAACTGCAAGTTATCAAATATGATTGTTTACAAAATTCTTTTGTTTGTACAGAACACTTTGTCTGCAGATCTTGGCTGAAAGAGCATAAAACCAATGGACTGGACATGTTGTCATTCTTAAAACAGTCCAATATGACAATCATTTAAAGGGCTGTATCATCTGCAAAATAAATATATTAAATCATTGTATGAGGTATTGTCTAAAATTTAGCCAGTCGTTTGTGTATATTTTCACTTTTATGTGAATGTTAATCTTGTTCTAAATTTTTTGTGTTCAGCAATGCTTGGTTATATTTTACTTTCCAAAGTCCACCTAATTTGGACTACTTAATCATACACTACCATCAAAGAAAAGACGTCAGTAGGAACTATGAAACCCTTAAATGTACCTTGATAAGACATAAAATATGTGCTTATTTTATGCAGCATATATCTGAATTATAGTACAGAAATAGTCCCAGATTAAGTTCATATATATGTTTACAATATCTATTTATTTGTATATTTGAACAAAAATGTGATTTTAAAACATCTATTTCAGGAATTTCTAACTTTATTAAATTTATTATTTGTTAATGATTAATTAATTAACTATTGATTTGTTATCTTATAAAGTCTATTAGAGATATCAGATATGAAAGTTAGACCAAACAAAAATTGTATGTATCTCTCACTGTTGTTATCAGTAAAGTATAATGGCTAAAATCTAAAAGAGTGGTACCATATACACAGTATCTCTATGGCAGGGGTGTCAAACTCGCAATGTCATGTGGCGTGTTGTGACCTATCGTGACTTTTTTTCCATTGCCGGCAATAGGGTGGGTGCGGTTTCGCCATGATGCATCCAGCCCGTGGGCCAGCAGTTTGACACCCCTGCTCTATGGTATTAACGTCTCAAGAACTTAGCTGATAGTCAATTGATTTAACTCTTCTTTGATTCAATTAACAGTGCTAAAATTCATTACTGTATTTGTATATATTAGTTACCATTTTGGGGAGTGTGATTTTCTTAATTTAGAAATTATTCTGTGGAAATTAGATTTTTAATACCATTAATACTTTTCACATTTTAATTTATATTTAATTTATATCACAATATGATACATCACATTCTTTTCCTACATGGGAAAAGTATTATGCAACCATTTCTGCTATGCCTGTACATAGCAATATACATAATCATAGGTGTCTATACTTGATCCCATTTATTTGTTTAAAAATGTACTCGGCTGTCTAACTTGTAAAACACAACTTTAGCCAACTCCACAACATTTTATCCTACTTCTGTGTTTGAAAGAAGCCCTATATAAAACAGAATTTCCCATTCTCTAAAACAGTTATTAAGCCGCCATGCTGGCCCTATATCATGTTGAGGAGAGGTAGAACTTATAGTTTATCAGTTTATGGGGAACCACAGGTTCCCCCATCTCCTTTAAAACTTAATTGGAATGTGTTGACTAATGTCCTTCCATAACACTGTTAATTTTAATGTTCTTTCATGTATTAAATGTTTTTTTTAAAATTGTTGTTAAAGTTACAGTCACACTAGACATTTATTTGTGGCTGGGTGTATTTTGTAGACTATTCAGGAATGTCTGTTTTAAGGTCTTGAGCGGATAGAAAGCTTTTCTGATTTAACACTCTGAATTAGCCATATCTAAACCATTTACAGGAGGTGACTGAGGGCCACACAGTCACCTACTTAGGTGGTCGTTACTTCTCTAGACCAATGAGCTTGCCCCTTTACAGTAAGTCCTTTGAGCTAATTTCTGTGTTTCTCATAAAGTTTCTCCTGTGGTGTTCTTCCTTTTGACTCACTTGGAATTTCTGAAGTTTCTCTTGGATATGCTTCATTTTCTTGCTGGAATTGGTACATCATTTGCTATTAACTTGTTCTCTTCCTTCCTAAGCAAAGAAATGGCGGAGACTCAAAATTTGCATCTTTATGTGTTGACAGTTCCAGTTTTGAAATTACATAGCAGCATGTTTAAACTGTGTTTAAGGGACTTAAAACAATTCAGAATGCAAAAGCTAGCCTGAATGTAAAACTTCTATATCAAGGAACAATTGCTGCAATAAATAGATAGGTGAGCAGCATTTTTGGTTGGGTGCCACTGGTTGTAATGAGGAACTCCAGTTACATTAGCAGTGATTCTAATGATCCATCAAAAATATCTCTGGATGGTCAGGGGATTTTGCTTAAGAAGATATAATAGTACACATTGGGGACTGCTGAATGAGAAGTACATCACTCAAAATTGGCTGGACGTCTGGACTTCTGTCTAATCCATTCCACTAAAAATCCATCCATTAACCAATTAGAGATAGCATTGAAGAAGTGCAGGTGGATGTGAAGATTGTGAGGCAATGGGAAACTTACCTTCCATTCATTTAATTATAAATTTAAACCTTCTTACATACAATTTTGTGACTATTCTATTGATTTGAATAAAGTATTATCATACCATGATAGCTAATTTTTAAAAATCAATTTAAATTAAAAGGAAGGCTTCGTGTATTCTGTATCCAGCTTTCTAGATACACATTATAGTGAATTACATGACACCTTTTAAGTAAACCTGAATGTTATTACTTTTAATATTGTGTTTTTTTTTAAATTAATCTTTTTATTACTGATTTTAATTAATATCTTATTTTTAGATTTATAATTTGAATCAAAGACTTACTTTTCTCTCTCCAGCTAACATCTGATTTTTAACACTTTGTATAGCATGGCTATCCCTGTGGACATGCTATACAATCTAATTGCTATTACCTATATGAATTTAAATGGTTGCAAAACAGTATTTACAATCCAGATATGATTTATGAAATGTATTACTGGACATAAAGCTACAATTTTCAATATTTCAGTTAAATTATGAAAAAACAACATGCTAACAGGCACTATTCACAACCAACATAATATTGTTGCAAATAAATCACAGAACAAACAATAGTCAGAAGGCATAATTCTTGATTTTTGATACCTAGAAAAATTAGTCAGAGGTCCTACATGTAATTCTAAGTTATGGATGGAGTTATATGGGTTTGTTAGCCTTTCTTGCAAAATCTATTTACAAGGCATCAAACAGTGTATTCTCTACTAGGACCATTTTCATGGGAAGAATTTTGCCTTACCATTGCTGGTGTCACAAAAATAACATGTCATTAAAATGCAACAACTTGAGTTATGCAACATGAAGGATTGCAGAGGTTCACCTTTGTGACTTGTAAATTCATTAACCATGTGGGGGAGAGTACAGGAGTATATTTACTAAAGGAGGTGTCTATAGCATATTGAAAAAAACGTATCTATATCTGCCAAATTCCTGAAGGACTAGATATTAATTTTATTGCCATGCTAAGAAATAATTTGAACCTAATTCTAACTAATTTCTTTCTCTCTCTGTTTCCCCTAACACACTTCTCTTTTCCTTTCTAGCAACTTGAATTAGTGGAGCCAAGTGGTTGGATTCATGTTCCTTTAACTGACACCCATAAGAAACCTATTCGCACATTTATGATTCAAATTGCAGTTTTAGCCAATCATCAGAATGGAAGAGATACACATATGCGACAAATTAAGGTTTATACACCAGTTGAAGAAAGTTCTATTGGTAAATTTCCTAGATGTACAACAATTGATTTCATGATGTATCGATCGATCAGGTAAAAAGATTTTTGTACTGTAATTACCCCAATTTTTAATTTAATTTCAGAATAAAGATTTAAAATCCACTTGTTTATACTGTTTATACTGTCTTGTTGTGCTGTTACAGCATATCATTTTGGCTTCTGTTTACTGCTGCTTACATTATTATAATTTCTAAGAGAATAAAAGCTAAGGTCAAGCAAATTAAAGTTGTTTATATGTAGATCAATTGCAGGTTTTTGAATATAATTTACGTTTTTGTTTCCTTCTAAGATACCACTTCACTGTAGGATAGGAAACTCCAATCTTTCATAAATTGTCCATATTTATTTTACTAGGGAACTCCTCCTAGAATGGGCAAAATGTGGTCATCCAGATGAACTACATTTCCAACTATACTAACCAACATGACTGGTAGAAATTATGGGATTTACAAGCCAGAAATATCTGCAAGATTATCTATTTGATTCCTTCTATCCTAGAGAATAAAACAACTGCTACAAAAATGCTTATCTTGCTTAAAATATAATTACTATAAAGGAAAACATGCTCTAATGTAAAATACTATATTGTGAAAATATATTTCATAAAGACTTAAACTCCTCTATAAAGAATACCTTATACAACTAACGTTGACTTTAAAGATCAATATCCCACACCAGTAGTGGGCCACCCAAGAGGAATACTCACTTGGAATTTCTAGCAGTCCATCTTTGAAAATGAAATATTTGTCTTGAATTTTAGAATAAATACATATAACAATTACATCATCCTTAGGTTCATTCACACCATAAGTATAGAAAATGGATGTGGCAAAAATATAGGTCAATATCTATTGGTAAACATTCAACACTTTCATTAGCTTTCCTTGAATCATGACTAACATTTCCTATTTACTTAACAGAACTAAAATATAACTAAGTAATGTTGTACTCCTAAATCTACTCTTTTTTTATGTAGGGCTTTAAAAAATTTTGGTAAGGAGAAATAAAAATAAAATCTGGTGTTCACACCTTAAAACAAGATATCAAAGACTTCAAATCCAAATGTTGTCTGAAGATTAATCAGATGGTACCATGAAACTGCAGGAATTGAACTCAGCAAGACCTGAAAACCATGTGAAAGTTCCTAATTTACTTTGGACCTAACGACCACATAAATGAGGTTTTGCCATGTGTGCTATCTGAAAGCATTTCAAACCATAGGTTTTATTGACACAGACATGTTTTTTTCCTTAAGACTAATTGCTTTTTCCACAGATTTATACCATGTTGCTTCTTGCTTCCAATAATGCTGCTTTTTTTGTTAAAATATTATATACATTCTTCATGTATACTCACGTGCTGTTAAGTAATGTCAGTGGCAATTATCTCTTTTTAACTGTATTCTACATGTGTTTACCAAGTCAATTTGAAGATAATGATGGTTTCAAAAATATTATTTTTATTATTACAATATTTATTATATAAATAATATTCAAGGCACAAAGGTTTTTTTAAAGATATAAATGTCCAATCAAATTGTTTTTCAATCTCTGTATTTCTGGTTTCACATAACACTTAAAGTTTAGAGTCCAATGAGACCTGAATGAATGATAATATTCATATGAGATCAGTCTATCCTCTCAGCTCTTGCTGAACTAACAGATCTGGCAGAATTTTGAACATTATTTTCCAACTAAGAAATATGCCCTGGTTTGGTGAATGTTTATGATAGGGAACAAATATTTTAACCCAGTTCAGTTCTTTGCATTAGATAATGCTGCCCAGAATTGCTTTGCAGCGAATGGCTAAATAAATAAATAAATAAACAAACAAAACAAAACAATTGACTTGAAAACTGCACATGAATGAAGAGAGAGAGAGAGAGAGAGTTAGTTAGTTAGTTACGGTTGACTTGAAAACTGCACCATAAATAAAGTTACTCATCAAAATATAGTTACTCATCAATACTTCCTTATCAAAATAGACTGAGGTACTAAGTGGAGCACAACAGTTCAACTAAGTTCAGGGTACAATACTCTTCAACATTTTGTTAATTATTTGAATGAGGAATTTTTATCAAATTTGCAGATGATATAAAATTAGTGATAACTAACATTTCAGAAAAGAGAAAATACAAAATGGTTTTGACAGGCTAGGGCAGTGGTGGCAAACCTATGGCACGCGTGCCAGAGGCGGCACTCAGAGCCCTCTCTGTGGGTATGCGTGCCATCGCCCCAGCCCCACGTCCCCCAGTGGCCCCCTCCTCACCAGCAGCCCCCCAGAGGAGAGCCGCCCCCAAGCGTGGCCCGTGTGGACCAGCGCAGCCAAGGACATGGCAGCGGGGACAAGACTCCACCTTCGCGCCCTGATGTGCAGATGATGCTGCGGGATGGGGGTGGAAGGCATGACCACCTTGGTGCTGCTGAGCTGCCTAGGCGATATGTGGTGGGCTGTCGAGGTGATGAGTAGCCCTGCGGGCAGCAGGGGTGATTTTGGGGCACTCAGTCTCTAAAAGATTCGCCATCACTGGGCTCGGGAAACACCTGAAAATAGCAGAATTAAATTTAACAAAGTCATTAAGTTCTCTGTTAAAAAACAACAACAACAAAGCTTTAGCATAAAAATAAAAGTCTAAGCACAGCACTAATGTACCTGCTGCAGAAATCAGACGGATATCATGAGTTTGTATCAATTCATTTGACTGCATAACTATTATGTCCACTTACAGATGCTTGCATTTGTTTAAATGAGTTCTGAACAACTTAAATGAGTACTAAGCAGTTTGGTTACATTAGGTTAAAAAATGTTAATAATGGAAGGGAAGATGATTTTTCCTTTGTCATAGCTTTTCTAATATTTTTTAGCAGAAAAATAAGGAAATATATAATTGTCTTGCTCTTTGTTTTCCCTTTTTGCCCTCCCACCACCTCCCAGGTAAGGTTCCATCCATCTGTGACCATTCCAATGGATTTCCAGGAGGATTTTCTGGAGCACGAAATGGTGGATACCTGAAGACACCAGCTACCAAAGTGCTGAGGTGGCTGGTCCCTGCTGTCATTTTAACCCTGATTGCCATGGGGGATTTGTAGATCCAAGTCTTGTTGGAAGCTGTCAACCTTGGCTGCAATTTCATTTAATCATTGCAATATAAAAATCAATGTTTCTGCAGACAAAAGACAAGCCTCTTAGAAAGATTTAGTGATAGTTATTATGGGAACTTTGTCCAGAAAGTTATTTCTCTGCTGCAGGGGATGATTTGGGCAGAGTCTTTGAAGGGCTGAAGAGATAACCTGTGTTAGTATGTTATGGCTGAGATCTGTGTTGTTATAATCCTTGAAGGTGAAAGAGGTCCTGGGGTAGTAGATCCATTACATTTTTAGTTGCCTCGGTCGTGGAGAGATAAGAGTTGATCCTCATTTCTTTTTCTGCTTTGTAAGATTTATCGGTCCTAGTGTTGTTGCTGGGCCGACTCAGGGTTCTCTTCTTAGGTGACATTTTGAAGGTGCTAGCTTAAACCAGAATTGGTAAGGACTGTCATAAGCCAAGAACTTATTTCAGAAGTTATTAATGTGTTGCCATCTTGACTCCTCCCCCTGATGTAAGCTTAAATTTAATGGTTTTTTAAAACAAAACAGCAACAATTGGTGCTGTTTTGCTAAATGCTAAATTGGTGTCAATTTAGACAAGAATAAATGTAGTTTTTTAATATTCTGATCTATTGCTTCATTACTTATATGGCCCTCATTTCATGTGTGACATAACCAAAGTATTGTATCAGTGTAGACTTCAGCGCAACTTGAAAGTTTTGAAGGAAATAAGCAGACTTAGAAGATAAGCAAGGTTCAAAACCATTAATCTCTAAAATGGAAAGACTTCACCTTAAAAGAGTAGAAAATAGTGTATTACTGTCAAGAAAATGTAATGGGGAGGAAGGGAGATGGAGAATGCACCAGATATTTATTTAAAGATTAAGATCAATCTTTCCTGTTGGCATCTCTATGAAGAATCAAAATCTGGACTCTTATTATCTTTCCATTATGTAATACATTAAGCTTTGGCAAATAACTTGCATGAGTGGCCTTCCTAATTTGCAGTTTCAACTTGGTTTCACTACTTACTTTACATTTATTTTGTTTTGCTAATAGTCTATGACAGAGCAAACTTCCAAAGCAGAATTATGTTGGCCAAAGTTCAATGTGAAAGCATGTTGTATTACTGATTCTAATAAATACAGTTAACCTAAAGTATTTTAGGTATAACTTGGGTCTGGATAGAGATCTTGGAATTGGAAGGGTTTGCTGGAAATAGAGAACAAGATAAGAAACACAATCAGGTATTCCAAAGGATGTCTTCCAGTCAAGATGCACAAGCTGAGGGGGGCATATATGAACCCCACTTAACCTTTTTAATACATTTTTATTAAAAGTTTTAAGTACAATAGTAAAAACCAATACAAATTAAACTTAAAGAGAAGACAATACAAAAAATATAAATAGTGAAGAAAAAGAAAGAAAAAGGCAAGAAAAAAATATTAAAAAAAATAGAAATATACAAAGGACTTACTTCCATCCTTCATGACAACAGGTTTAAACAAATTGGGCTTCTTAATGTTTCACATTTTTTCTGCTCCATGGATTACAGGGGACATTATGGCCAAAAAGGCGGCTGGATTCAGACTGCTGAAATTTTCTTTGGAACAAAAAGAGCACTGGAATTTACCAATATGTACATACGTGTAGCCTTTTTTTTTTCATGAACCAATGTTTCTGCAGCTACTTGTGATCAACTGGGAGTTGCGGGTTCCACCATACTCTGAGCCATAAATGCAAACTTTCATAGACTCAAGTCAAATCATCTTTTTAATCACTTTGGAGCTTTAATTTCTTTGTTGTTTTTTAACAATACAACAAACATAAACAAAACCTTCAGAACTGCAAGTTTACCAGTCACTGGGTGACTTTTCAATCCATTTAAAAAATGAGTGTTTCTAGGTTTGTTTTGTTTTTTGCAATTTTTTGCAATATAAAGAGTGATTGTAGAGTTTTGTGATGTTTTTGAACACTTTTAAAGAATTTTTTTGAATGCCAAGGCTTTGAATGAAATATATTTAAAGAAAAACTTTAAAATTAAGTAAAAAGATCCTCGTGTGGGAAAAAATTGTCTTTACATTTCAAACAAAACAAACTATGAAGGTTGATTACTAGAGAGCACAAGATAGCTACTTTAAAAGAAACTTTATCTGTGGGTTCAATAAGTGTTTGGGCTTTTTAACTCTATACTAGAATCAAAAGTTATTATTGAAGATGAACAAGTTTCTTTGAAGAGAATTGAAATAGATTTAAGGTGGACATAAGAATTATAGCCTGTAAGAAAGAGATGGAAATACTGGATTTAAAAATGAAATTGGATATTCATTTAGAAACTAAAAGAACATACAAATAATGTATCAAAAGAGTGATTAAACTGAAATATAAGAGATCTACTGGAGTTACTATACAGAAATTACAAATGGATAAATATAACAAGATTTCAAGAGAAGAATCAAAGATAGTAGAAGAAAACAAGACTTGGAATTTTATCTATGGGATTTAAGGATGAATGGTGGAAAGAAAAAAAATAAAATCAGTTCATTTAATTATAAGTTGTTGAAGGGGTGTGGTGGCTGAGCAGTTAAGATGCTGGGCTTGTCAAAAGTTGGCAATCTGAGCCCTAAGTACCATGTGATGGAGTGAACTTCCATTACTTGCCCCAGCTCCTGCCAACTTAGCCGTTAAAAAACATGCAAATGCAAGTTGATAAATAGGTACCACTTCGGTGGAAAAGTAACAGTGTTCCAGGTGCCTTCCTGCTGGCCACAGGAAGATGGAAGCATCTTCAGGCAATGCTGGCTTTTAAGCAGTAAATCAGAGATGAGCAGTGTTCCCTAGAGTTGGACATGGCTGGCAGGGGAAACCTTTACTTTTATCTTTTTAATGAGTTGCTAGGTTTTGTAGTGCTTAATGAATATCTTAACTGGTGTAATGGCTTCCCCAGATGCCAGCTCGTATGATGAGAAAAGCTGACTCCAAGGGCTTCAGAGTGGGGCATGCAAGATTTTAGAAATAAGTTAATAGAAAATAAGGTGAGATATGGCATGAATGTGATGATGGCTCTATTTTCAGAGACAGTAAAATATTGTTGATGTTGAATATACTTGCTGGGGATGAAGGGGAACATTTCATTTTCTTACTGCTTCCTTTTGGGAGGAGATATTTTTCCAACACTTAATTTTTTTTCTTTTTAAAATATATTTTGTATTAGTTTTTTTTTGTATTCATTTTATCTATTTAATATAATTCTTAATAAAATTATTGAAACTTCCCCAACAAGTACCAACAGATTTAATATCTCTTTACTTTCTTTAAGATTACAAGCAGATATCTCTTCCTCTGACATCTCATCTCTTATCTATAAGTAAGTCCATAAAACATCAACTTTTCAATCCCGCTGTGGGGAAAAAATCCTTAAAGAGTTGTCATAATACAAAAAACCCACTCCCGTCTTATTTTAACTTGAACCGTCTAAGCAAACTTTATATTCCTGTTTTATTTCTTACCGTCTTAATTTTTAATTCAATCCAATATTGTCATAGGATTTGATTTCTCTTCAATTCTTTATCCCATCCCATGAAGATTTAAAAAGTCTCTTTTGTAGACCCAACAAGAAAACATTTTCAATGTCATTCTCTTGATTTGGCATTGCATTTCCCTTTTAATTTTTAAAATTGCATCCAGTTTGTTTTGTACATCCAATAAAGTGTTCTTTTCAAAATCATTCTCTTGTAGTTCCACTTTCAATATTTTTCTTTGGCAACTTACTGTGATTGTCCATTCTGATGTTTGGGCTCTGATAATCAGGGACACAATGCTAGTGGACTCAACACAATCCAGGATTTCCAAGTTGGAGACATTGTTGTCAATGAAGGCCAAGGGTGGAGTGGAGCATGTGCACGTGAAAATTTCTCCAGTTGTTTGATGTGCATTGTGAAGCTTGAGACAGATTGAAACAATAGTTAGGGAATTCCAGTCTACTTAGAATGAGTTTAATGTACAGGTTCAGAAGGATTATGTTCTAGGGAAATCAAAAAAGTTGATATTCTGGCTAAATCTTTATGTATGTTTTGAAGAAATCCAGGAGACAAGTAAACATGTTTCTTATTTTCAGAAAGGAAAAGTATCCTGGGAATTAAAAATCAATCAGATGCT